CAGTTTAGCGGAATCCTTTTTTTTCCTTCTCTTCTCTTCTCTTCTCTTCTCTTCTCTCCTCTCCTCTCCTCTCCTCTCCTCTCCTCTCCTCTACCACCGCAGTGCTTGGGTGACAGGAGTATGACACCACACCCGGTGTCCGAGCAGTTGAATTATTTCCTCATCCCAACCCGATGAGGTTTTAATCTGCCTTTATACAGCAGCCTGGCTGCCTGTGCTGGGGTTATTACTGGGTTTTCTGTACACTGATCCTGGCTGCCCTAACCAAGCAGGTTCTGAGATGGAGGCGGGAGGGGTCCCCACTCTGGAAAAATTTATGGGAACACCAAGGCTTGATGTGGGCAGAAGCCTGGAGCACTCAGGCAACATAAGCCAGGATTTCAGTCCTGCCTTCAAGGCTGGGCTGCAGTCAGAGTGTGGGATTGGGGTGTGAAGGGGCCGGGTCTACAGTCTACAAGTGGAGCTGGGAACACTAGGCTGTGCTGGAAGAAGCAGGTCACTGTTTGGGCAGCTTTACAGCTCACGGCCGGCCGAGAAATGAAAGGAGGAGGCTGAAACAAGCCCGGCAGGCTAGCAGCCGCCTGTAATCCCAGCACTCAGGGGGCCAGAAGCAGGAGGATTAATGGGAGTTTGAGGCCAGCCTTGTCTCCACAGTGAGTTTCAGGCCAGCCAGGACTACACAGTGAAATCCTGCCTCAAAGAATCAGAAAACTAAAAGAAACGTGTGCTAGTTCTAGGTCTGTGGTTTACAGTCTAGACGCCCAAGGGTCACCTGGTCCCTCTCACTTGTAAAATGGGAGTGGATGCTACATCAGCAAGTTAGTCTCTGCACAGCGCTTCACAGTGTGGACAATAATGTCAGGTACAAATGTCTGAGGCAATGGAGGAGAAGACCTGGGCTCTACTCCCTGGAGAGATCGTTACGAAACTTCGGTGGCCAGAGGTGCCAGGCCCACGTGAAGGGCTATTATTGTTGACTCACAGTCAGCTCGCAGATGCTAATAAAGGTGTGAGGAGGCATCTGGCAGACACACATACCTGCTTGCTCCCCCATTTGGTCAGTGACAGACACTGAGTCTCTGACAGCTGTCCAGGCTTGCAGCTGAGGTAACCCTCCCCTGCCTTCAGCCCCGCCTGAGAGTGGAGAATGTGGGACACAGGTCTCCACTTGCTGGCTCTTTTTCTATGGTGCTAGTGGACACTCGAGTCTATAATCTCAGCCCGACTCTTCTCGTTGGGCCGAGCCGCAGCACCCTTGCATGGCCTGGGGCTGTCTACCCATGCTACCTCTGGTCTCTCCTCACTCTGTCTTTGTGTCTGCAATTTGTTCTTCCTGGGACAGTTTCACTTTTAAACTCCAACCTTCGGAGGAGGAGAACCTTTGTCTGTTGGGTCATCAATAGTAGATGATCAAGAAATGTTTATTAAGTTGAGTTATCTCCACCCCAGTTGACTATTGTAGTGCTCCAGGAAGATTGTTTACGTTTAAAATAATTGAAAGCCAAGCCGGGCAGTGGTGGCGCACACCTTTAGTCCCAGCACTCGGGAGGCAGAGCCAGGTGGATCTCTGTGAGTTCAAGGCCAGCCTGGTCTACAGAGCGAGATCCAGGACAGGCACCAAAACTACACGGAGAAATCCTGTCTTGAAAAACCAAAATAATAATAATAATATTTTTTTTCTCATTAGCATGCATTAATTATACATAATGATGAGTTTCATTATAATGTTTTCATGCATGTACTTAACATATTCTGATCATATTCACAGCCCCCACATTACCCTTTCTTGTCCCCTCCACCTTCGGTGAGTCTCATTCTTTTCTCAACCAGATCCTCTTCTGCTTTCCTGAATCCTCTTCCTCCTCTTCCTCCTCTTGGATCCAATGAGTTTCATTAGGATTGCTTACAGAAGATGGGTATAGATTTGTTTTTTGAGATATGGTCTTGCTATGTCACCGGGCTAGCCTGGAATTCACAGCAATCCTCTTGCCTCAGCCTCCCAAGTGTGGGGCTTGCAGGTATGTGCTCCCAGCTAGGAATATTGTGAGTAAGCAAACGGTGGTAGCATTGGGAGCCACCTCTCCTGTTTGCTTCTGGAGAACGCCTTCTCACACCTCAGCGCTCCCTCCCTCGGGCCCCATCTCCACCTCCACCACAGCTCCGTCTTCCATTGCTAGTCATCCTCAAGCCAGGCTCCAGCTCCTCTCAGCTCCTCCACCCTTCTGCATAAAGCAATGAACCACTGCTGCCCCTGCTCTGGCTTCCTAGAGAATTCCTGGCCTCCTTCCATTTCCACACTGCACAGCTCTTGGGTCTTCAGACACTGGGAGGCTGGGCGCCTGCCTCTTTCCCCACCACCCAGCTGGGTCTAGCAAATGCCGAGTCATCCTCAGCTGGGGCCTGTCTCCATCTCCTCTAGCCAGAGGAGGAGCTTGCCAGGATCGAACCCAGAAGAAAGCCCCACTTCTGGAAGCATCCACAGGGTGGTATGCCTGAAGCCAAGGGCGTCAGCCTCCCCTGCTCTCACCTCTGCACCTTACAGGTCCACCCCTGGGGAGCAGGCCTGGGCTACAACGGCAGTGCTACCCAGTGCCGGCCCCTCCTGTGCCCATCCCCTGGAGAAGCACGCTGGCAACCCAGCCTCAGTTTCTGCCCGGGGCCCTTCCTGCTAAGGAGCTGCCAAGGGCACATTTGCAGGGCTGCGTCACAGCTGCAGTGCCTGTGAACGCTAATAATTAAGCCCCTACAAACCGCCTGCAGATAACCGTAATCCCTTGTATTTATACAGCCCTGAGCACATTTGGAGGCTTCTTCATATATATTATCTTGTGTGATCTCCCACAATAATCCTATTGGGTGGTTCTGGGAAGTGAATTACTGTCCTTATTTTGAAGAAGAGAAAAACTAAGACTTGGGGAGGGAAGACCCATCTGAGGACGCACAGCCTACGGGACCAGAGCTGGCGCCAGGACACAGGTCCCTGGCAGTCCAGGGCTGCCAACTGCATCCTTGCCCAAGATCCCGAGGCCCACTCCTGAAATGGCCTGCACAGTACACAATTCCTCCTGGCTCTTCCACCTGCTTTGGTCTCTTCACAGTAACAAATAGGTGTTGAGCACGTTTATGCAACTCAAATTATTTAATTTAACACAGTCTTATGATATAAGTGATATTATTAGCTCCAATTATGTACGGCTGCAGTGGCCAAGCACAGAGCAGTTAAGGAACTTGCTCGGAGTCACACAGACTATTTAGATTCAGGACAAATCCTAGTCTGTTTGAACAAAATGAGACTTCAACTACTCGCTGCCAGTCTCTCCCTAGCTTAACCGAGGCCATGATTCAGAGCAAACCTCCAAACCGAATGTCACTGGGCATTCTCTTTTGTAGCTGTTCGCACTCCCTGGTCATTCATATGTTCACGCACTCACTTGACAAATGCTCACGAGGACTTCCTCTGGGTCTGGCAGTAAGAATACTAAAAACATGGCTGGAGAGATGCCTCAGCAGTTAAGAGCACTTTCTGCTCTTGCAGAGGACCTGGGTTTGTCAACCACATTGAATGTCTTACA